ACTCGTGAAATGGCACTGGTTACACTGATCAACAGCCAAAAAATATCCTAAATAAAATCAACAAAATATTACTATTTTTAATGTGCTAAAACCGGAATGAAACTTATTTTTTCAATATTAGTTCAAGTTTTAGAGATACGGTAATTATATGTGTTCCTGCTGTGACAGTGTTAATATACTGTAATTCACAAGAATGCACGTGCTACATTTTTATATTCGGCAAGGAAAGATGATGTAATCGGCATGATTGTGTTACGTTATACATACGTGTACATTGTATTGTTTCATATTAGCCATTTTTTCCTCAGTTGGCTGACAGCGTTCATGCAAGATGTCTCGAAAGTGTGTAAACAATTCAGATCAGTTTTGTTACGTGTGTGGTGATGTGACTTTTGCGTCTCAGAGACGGTCTATTACTCCACTAATAACAAAGGCATATCAGCTTTATTTCGGTTGTAAACTAGGTGATCAAGACAAACAGTGGGCACCTCACATCTGCTGTAATACATGTGCTTCAAGTCTGAGGAGCTGGTTAAATGGCAAAAAACGGTCTATGCGCTTTGCTGTCCCAATGGTTTGGAGAGAGCCTACAAATCATATTAATGATTGTTACTTTTGCATGGTACCTTGTGTTGGACAAGCCACAGGTATGTCCAAGAAAAAAAAATCGGTTATTAACTACCCAAACATACCACCTGCGATGAGACCTGTGCATCACAGTGACGAAGATCCTATTCCAAAACCCCCAGAATCCTACACTTGCGAATCAGAAATCGAATCAGATCATGGCGATCGAGTGATTCGTCAGGAAGAAGATATGCCATCAACGTCAAGAGATCCTGATTTTATACCGAGCACGTCATGCCACCAACCGCACAAAATAACACAGTCAGAATTAAATGATCTTGTAAGAGATTTAGAACTTCCAAAATGTAAGGCAGAGTTACTTGGATCAAGACTGCAGCAGTGGAACTTGTTAGAAGACGATGTTTCGGTATGTGTTTTTCGTAAACGCCACAAAGACTTAGAACCATTTTTCAATATGGAGAATAACTTGGTTTTCTGCAGTAACATTAACGGCTTACTGGCGGCTTTAAATATAAACTATAGCCCAGAAGAATGGAGATTGTTTATAGACAGTTCAACATTGAGTTTAAAGGCAGTGTTATTGCATATTGGAAATATTTTACCATCTCTTCCTGTAGGGTATGCAGTTCACATGAAAGAATCATATGTCAATATGAAGTACCTATTGACATGCATAAAATACGATGAGCACCAATGGCATATTTGTGGCGATTTGAAAGTTGTTGACTTTTACTTGGGCTGCAGCTAGGCTACACAAAGCTTTGCTGTTTTTTGTGTGAATGGGACAGTCGGGCAAAGGCACTTCATTACACCAGACAAAACTGGCCTGTTCGTCAATTCCTAGAGCCAGGTCAAAAAAATGTACAGCATATGCCATTAGTAGATTCGATTTTATTACCACCACTGCATATCAAGTTGGGCCTAATGAAAAACTTTGTCAAGGCATTAGATAGAGATGGGTCAGCTTTTCAATACCTGCGTCAGAAATTTCCAAGACTAAGTGAGGCAAAGGTTAAACAAGGTATTTTTGTTGGGCCACAGATTCGAAATATTTTGAAAGATACACAGTTTGAAACCACTTTAACAGGTATTGAAAAAACGCTTGGAATGATTTCCATCTGGTGGTCACTAATTTCTTGGGAAATAGAAAAGCTGACAACTATAAAACCCTTGTCAAAAATATGCTGTCATCGTATCAAAAGATGGGCTGTAATATGTCTCTTAAGATACATTTCCTACACTCACACCTGGACTTTTTTCCTGACAATTGCGGAGCCGTAAGTGATGAGCACGGCGAACGTTTTCATCAGGATATTTCAACAATGGAAAAAAGGTACCAGGGAAAGTGGAATCCTTCCATGCTTGCAGACTACTGTTGGACTCTTGGTAGAGATGCTCCAGAAACGATCCATAAAAGAACAGCAAAAAGACAGCGCATATAGTGATTCTTATAAGTATATGAATCTTGTTACTTTTTTTAATATATCCTTAAAAATAAAAAGTTTTTTTTCTAAACCGCAACTAATTTTTTTATTTCGTTGTCATTTTTGGATTCAGCGCCCCAAAATTAACAAAGAAGTGCACTTTGCCCACAAGATACAATTAAAAAACTAAAATTTGTTGTCCAGTGATTATTTATTGGCTTACGTTAAAAAATGCATTGAAACTATAACTATCCGTAAATTATAAAAAAGTGAAAATAAAAAAACTAGTGCATTCACAAATGTCTTTGAAATATTTGCGGAATACTCAACATGTTTGTGTCAATTAATTTTGAAACTTGTAGTCGGTTGCTATGTTCGGTATTTCTATAATCCTCGCACACATTTGCCTATCAACTTATACCAACCAACCAAAAGGCGTTACACAAAACTTGGATGTACCACCTAACTTACTTCACTTTATACGTATGAATGTTATGTATCTAATCATGGAGTGAATTATACCGCTTCTGCATTTTAAAATATACCTATGCTTTTGCTCACATTGGGTTTGGTGATCTATTTTGTTCTATAAACCACATGATTTCTAATTTGTCTAGGAGAGCCTCCAAAACCAAAATTAACTTGGCAACAATTTGTGTCTTATTCAATAGGCATATGGGCAAATCTCAATTGAATTGAAGATTTAATTTGTGTTTTCAACGTCGAATGGAGGTTTGAAAATGCATAATATGCGTTTTAATAAATATAATAAAATATCCCTCAAACGGTCATTCCCAGCTTATGCAATGACTCTTTTAGATAAATTTTATGCATTTCCAGCTGACCACGTGACAACAAAGCCTTGCTGTCAACAGTTTCGGTAACTCACTCTTTCGCCCACTGGGCGGGTATTTATGTACGAATCGACGAGTCTCGAACAGTCCCGCGTTTTCTGGATGGAGTTCGATTCTTTTTCGAAGCTGGTAGACGGCGGCGGCGCATCGAATGTTCGCGAACACGAATGCGCTCCAAATACGCCAGCATAATTCTGGTTGCCTAAGCGTCGATGTAGCGAGGGCGTCTCATCGGTACCCCAAAGTTATAGTTCACAAGCCCGTTACGATAGCCTTTATTGGTTCAAGATACAATGCTTTAAATCATACTTGAGTTATGCCTTTCAACCTTTTATGACAGCATCGTGGCTCCTGTACTATCCGCCGCGCATTGACGGGAAGTTCGATTTATGCTTAGTTCACGAATTCTAAAGTCACTCAAGCGTACTAAGAATTCTAACTTATCTTTTTTCATTTATTTGCGCCGAAGGAATCCGAACAAAAAAAAAATGTGTCCAACGGTCATAGAATTTGAAATATGTGCAATGATTACAGTCATATGTATGTCAAGCTAAATTGACGCTGCCCTCTTCATTGAGCATGCTGAGATTCGTGAACTGCTGTCGGTTTGTTTGCAACTGCGAGAGAATACAGTGCAGTGAAATAGGTGGCCGTGATAGGGGCTCTAGCTCTCTTTTGATCTATTGTGGACCATCAGTGAGCGATTGTTTCCGCATCACCAGCCAGCCCTCTGCATGTGCTTGTGTACATCGACGAGTAGCATATGAGATGCAACAGCCAGATGCACATTGTTCCTACCGATTGCTTTTCTGTTTGGCTGCTACATGCAATACAAATAGCTATCTATCTCTAAAACAAAGGACATCTGAAATAATGCAAAAGCGAGAAATGGTGTCAAGTGGATTAATTTCATGAGATGCAATAGCCAGATGCAAATAGTTCCTACCGATTGATTTCCTGTTTGGATGCTGAAGACAATAGATATATGAAGAGGCCTTTTGCGAAAACCTAAGTCAAGCAAATATCTATCTCTTTACAACAAAGGCCAACTGAAATAATACAAAACAAAAAAATAGTCTCAAGTGCAGCAAGTTTTTACCTACTCGCATAACATGTCTTCAAAGTAGGTTGAGTTTGTACTTCCCACGCAATGCTGTCGTCAGATGATAAATAATTATGTTCGGAACAAGTTAGACGATGGATGGACCCTCCCCCTACCCCCTGCGAGAAATTCCTGGGAGCGCACATGATCATTGCTATGACCGATCCCGTGTTGATGACGATATCGACTTTCACAGCACACAGCCCCACACTTGCTATATTGGGGGATATTCCCACAAATTAAGGGGATGTTTACTTTAGACCTACACTGTGGTTTGTAAGTTGATAGGCCTGTATCCATAGTCAGTGAACAGAAAAAACAATAGTAAGAAGTGAACTAGCCGGTTGACCTAGCTCTTGTCTAACACTTGTTTCGAGACAAAGAAATAGATGATGACTTGTCTTCTCCGCGCCAGTTTCCTCGTCTTTTGCGTTCAAGCAACCGCACAAGCTGATAATTTCCTTTTGATAAATCGTGTGAATCTCCCGAGTAGGACCCTGAAAACTAATCTCAGCTAGGACCAACTCACTGGTTTTACGGATAAGATCTGTTTTCATAAAGTTATACATCACACGTTTCGAGGATAGAAAGTATACAATTTTAGGAAAGCAAACTACCCTGATCTATGCTCGGAATTATTTCAACTAAATTCCTTGACTCCTCCTCTGATGTAGATACTGCAGTGAGCTCATTGTACGATAAGCTATATCAACTTTTAGGCAAGCATGCTCTCGTGTATAAGACATATAGAAGAACATATCCCAGTTGGTCCAACTCAGATATCATTAGGAATATAAAATTAAAGGCTAAATATCATAGTATAATAAGAAAACAAGATACGAATTTTATTTAACAGAATTCAAAAGATTACGGACGTTAGTAAAAAGTCTAACTAAATAAGCATATCATGAGTACTTGGAGCGTATTCAGCGAGATATTTGCAATAATTCAGATAGATTCTGTTCATACATTGATGGAGAAAAACTTTCTGACCCTAATGATACTATGAATGCACTCAAAATGTTTTTTCAGCAGGTTTACACGATAGACCAAATTATGAATTTAGTGGTAATGATACTGAAACCGACCTTCCAGTTTTCAATATTGAAAAGCTTACCGAAGATGGAATAATTACAGCAATCCGTAAACTGAAGAATAAAATGACACCGGATCCTGATAATATCCCTTCCTTCTTGATCAAGGACTGTTCTCCTGTTTTAGCCAATCCACTCGCAAAAAGTTTCCAAAGTTGTGGAAACATGCCAGAACTTGTACTATATTTAAAGACGGGGACAAAGCCAATAATGAAAACCATAGAGCTGTATGCATTATTTGCAACTTTTCAAAGGTTTTTGAGATTACCCTTTACAATAGATTTCAACCACCTGTTAGAAATTACATTTCAACGAACCAACATGGCTTTATACATAAGCGATCTACAGTCACCAATCTATTTCTTATTGTACAATTCATCTCGGAAGTGTTGGATGGTCAAGGACATGTAGATGTTATCTACACTGACTTCTCGAAAGCATTTGACAAAGTCTCTCTTAAAAAGCTATGTCAAAGCTTGCTAATTTATTATTTTCTGATAAGCTTATAGATATCTTTAATTCGTACCTGTCGGATAGATTTCAGTTTGTTTCGTATCATGGATACAAGCTACCATTTTACTTACGTCTCGTGTTCCGCAAGGTTCTTTGCTATTCATTTTATACAGGGTGTTTCAGTTTATTGTTGCATAACTTTAAGATTCGATAGAACTTTTAAAATTAATGCATAAAGTCTATATAAACATGGGTGGCTTCCGAAATACAGGGTGTTTAAATTTACTTTCTAAAATAGTTTTTTTTAAATATTTCGAACAATATTTGATGTATAACAGTGAAAATTGGGATACAAGGGTTTTTTGGTACGAAAAAACAAACCATGGGCATAGTTTTACTGTAGCCACTAGAGGGCGCTCGCTACTGTACCTGTAGTGTATTAAAATGAGTGAAAATTTTTTCTTAGTGCAATTTTTTGCTTTTTGAATAAAAAAACTGATTCTTCGCACTTTTCAACATAAAAAAGCTCTCCTGTGAGTTTTTGTTATAGTTAGCCGTTTTTGAGATGTTTCGATTTTTAAGGTTCGATGCATTTTTAATTATTTATGGGAAACTAATATTTTTTTTTTACATTTTCGATTTGGGCATTACAAGTAATTAAGATGATCGTTTAGATTGTGCTTTTAAACACAGCAATAATTCCTAACTCCAAATAAACACAAAAAACAGAATATTAATTTGTTTAATTTTACAATATTATTTTTAACAAATCAAATTAATTATTTACAACTAAAATGCTATTGGATAGTTAGGACAAACATACAAAATCTAAAGTAGTTGCTCGAAATGTAAACCCAATTGTTCAATACACAATTCCATCTACGAATGATCGGACGTGGTACAGCATTATTCAAATAAGGCCCTATTTCATCACATGCATTCCTGATTCTGTCTATTAGCATATCTCTTGTGGTTACGGGAGTCTGGTAGACTTTTTCTTTTATAAATCCCCACACAAAGAAATCTAATGGATTTAGGTCAGGGGATCGTGGAGGCCAGGCGACTGGTCCTCCGCGGCAGATTAATCTTTCTGGGTCCAAATAGTCGATTACGGTAGGTACCAATCCACACGTTCACACTAAATTCATGCTGAAAATTTCTTTCCCGAACTGCATGCGGATTTTCATGCGAACAAATATGTTGATTATGAGAATTTACCACTCCACGTCTAGTGAAGCATGACTCATCGGTCCATAAAACGTTACTTAAAAACTCCCTATTATCAGTTCTATCAAGAATCCACTGACAAAATCTGATTCTTCGTTCTCCGTCCCCTGACTGTAGTCCTTGCACCAGTTGCAAATGGTAAGGACGTCTATGGTCATTTCTAAGAACACGGTGAACATGGCTTGCTGAAATTCCCAAGGCACCAGAAACTCTCCTAACACTTGTGGTCGGATCTCTATCAAACTCATGCAGAATCGTACGGGTAAATCTGCGCTGACGAACATTTATGTTGTGATCCCTTTGGAGATTTCCAAAACCATTTTCAATTATTTGGCGATGCACTCTTACAAATACTGAGCGAGTTGGATATCGTCTGTTTGGAAATCTTCGTGCGTATTCTTTGGCTGCTTCTGCTGCGTTTCCATTTACAAAGCCATACACAAAATGAATATCCGCTAACTCTTGATTGGAGAATAAAAATGGCATTTTTATAAACCTTACAAAAAAAAAAACAGGTAAAAGAAACTAAATTTCGTGCATTCACAATTGCAAAAAAACGTTTCAGGTTTCAACAGACAACAAAACTAACTGTCAATTAATTGACGTTTAACCTTATTCTGCTTTCAATTTCAAAAATATTTGCAGGCACAGCCTACTTCTAAAAATTATCGAGATACTGACTTTTTTATCATAAATAAAAATGCATCGAACCTTAAAAATCGAAATATCTCAAAAACGGCTAACTATAACGAAAATTCACAAGAATCAGTTTTTTATTCAAAAAGCAAAAAATTGCACTAAGAAAAAATTGTAGGTCATTTTAATACACTTCAGGTACAGTAGAGAGCGCCCTCTAGCGGCTACAGTAAAACTATGCCCATGGTTCGTTTTGTCGTACCAAAAAACCCTTGTATACCAATGTTCACTGTTATACATCAAATATTGTTCGAAATATTTAAAAAAAACTATTTTAGAAAGTAAATTTAAACACCCTGTATTTCGGAAGCCACGCATTTTTCGAAACATGTTTATATAGACTTTATGCATTAATTTTAAAAGTTCTATCGAATCTTAAAGTTATGCAACAATAGACTGAAACACCCTGTATATTAATGATTTACTAGCGCCAGTTGATAGCAAGGTATTATGTTTTGCGGATGATATCAAAATTTTTTCAAGAATTAATGAGGTTGATGATTGCAACTTACTTCAAAATAACTTGGCTGTTATTGAGAACTGGTGTGGTGAAAATTAACTTTACCTCAATGCTCAGAAGTGTAAGGTAATCTCGTACAGCAGAAGAAGCACTGTTGTTAATTACAAGTATATAATAAATAATTGTGAAATTCAAAGAGCAGTAACTAGCAAGGACCTGGGGACTATTTTTGATTGTAATTTAACATTTTCAGAACATGTAGAGCAAAAAATGCCTGACGCCTTGAAACTGTATGGGTTTATTGTGCGGACATGTAGGAGCTTTTCAAATTTTCAAATAGTGATGTCATCAAAGTTTTGTTCAACTCGCTTGTACGACCGGAGCTAGAATATGGTTGTGTTATATGGAATCCTTTTGGCTTTCAAAATAGACGGAACTTGTCCTGAACGCGGCATTGACTATAAAATCTTATATAGTATATTTGATCAAGATAGTTTGCAACTAAGGCGGAGTATTGCATCTCTTTCATTTCTATATAAATTATTACATAATACCATAGATTGCTCTTCCGTCCTATGTTTAATCAATTTTAATGTACGTAGGATCAGTAGTAGGACTAGTGCCACGTTTTAGTGTTGTATTTAACGTACTTAATGTGACATTTTTATTTGCATGTTGTTATACACTTTAATTATTTTTTTCTTTTTTTCTCTTTTGTACTTAGGCAGGTCATAATTTATAATTCACTTGCACATTGAATAAGCTTATGGATCAAGCACATTTAATTCGTTTTTCGTAGTTAGGCATGTAATAATTGAGAACTTCTCTTAATTACCCTGTAAATGGTTAGCTGTTGGGTAATAAAGCTATTATTATTATTATTACTATTATCTCTTCGCTCTTCAAACCAAACCCACCCACTCCCATTCATGCAAACTGATTTGGGTGGCTTTTTAAAAAAGTTGCAATTCTGAGGAATGTTTGAGCTTGTTCTGGGGTACTTTGTTCGATCCATCTGGGCAGCAGTTGGAGTTATTTCTAAGTTTTAATGGTAAATGTACGGGAAACTATGTCTACAAAAATTTTTCTGAAAATGATCAGGGGTCACTGAAACGTCAAAATACCAAGCTTACCCGATTTATATTTTTTTTTTTCGTTTTCTAAATTTTATCATAATCGATGCAACATTCTATGGGTAGAAATACGCCAATAGGCAGACCAAACATCAACCGATATTTACCGTAGTAGAAATTTGAAAATGATTTTTTTTATTTATTTTTTTCTCCTTCAGAATTTTTTTTTGTTTGGTATCCTACGGAGAATCGTTCAAACTGAAAGGGAAAACAAAGATATCAAATCTTCCCTGTTAGACCCAGCCATGAGGGAGGTATGGGCACAAACAATTCATACACAATTTTTTTGTATTTTTGATTTCAATTCGTTTTGCTTGATTCTGTGCTTTCAATTTATTGTGTATGATTTTTAATTCGTTTTGTATTAATACTGTTACATTGGGTATGTTTCAGCTCCTATGCTATCAGTTTAATGTGTATGTGTTTTTATTTTGATTCGTTATTTTTTTATACCGAAGCAGTCCCGCAGGCAAACGCCTGTTCGCGAGAGTCCACCCCCTACCCGGACATTCCGAGAGTGCAGTGAGTTTACGCTCGAAATTCTTCGTACTGAGCATTAGCTCTATGGTACTTGAGTACTGTACAGTTACTGTTACACTGTTTTCTAATTCCTGACATGTTTGGCATCATCACCTTATGGTGAATCGTATGATGCTCCAAAAAAGAAGCTGATCTATCAATAATCGGATCTCAACCTGGAAATGCTGAGGCGACCTTCAGAGCCAAATACAGCAGAAGTCCTTAGCTTGAGTAGAAGAGATCTACGAAAGGTCGCTGGTTATACAGGATGTCCTATAATGATATGCGAATATTTAAGGGTGTGAATCTAAATGAAAAATTAATGATAGTTTGCTTTATAAACTATGGTCCAAAAATGTTTCCTTACAAAAACTCGGGGTGTTGAAGTTTTAGGAAAAAAATGAAAATTAATTAATATTTTCAGAACGGCTTCAGATAATTCACTGATATTTAGTACGTAGTGAAAGTTAATAAAGTTGCATATGCAAATGTGATTTTTAGCTTTAGCAGTGGCGTGCGTACCTGTATTGATTTCGATATTTTTTAAGCAAAAAATGGTATGCCAATAGTTTTTTGCCAAAAAAAATTTTTGAATTCCCCGTTCAATTTAAAACAAATGACATCTCTTGAATTGTTTTCCCTCAATGCGCCATTTTTGAGGAGAAATATAAAAACCGTTCTATTGTCTAACTTGCAAAATTATTATTACCTTAATTGGAAAAATTAAACGCATTAGGGGCAATGAACAACAACAACTGACAACATAAACATAACATTAAAACCAACGAAATGATCACAAAAATTGTTGAAAATGGCAGCAAAGGCAACTGTTGTTGAAGAAAATTGAGGTAAGTCTGTCCGTCAAGTCGTCCCGGCAAGAAAAATGGGTCAATAAAGTGGTTGCCAATAATTCTTGCCTATACGTTAACCAAAAATTGGTGTTGGAAATGGGTTTCGCTTACGGCATAGAGATTTTCTTCCGCCCAAAAATGATTATTGTGGAAATTCTGAATGGCAATTCGAGAAAAAATAGCTTCGTCCTTGAACCGAATCATTGATTCAAATTGCGGATTTTGTGTAATTTTTTGAAGATACCACTGACAAAAGGTCACACGCCTTGGAAAATCAATTGGGAAGTAATGCCTGTACTCTTAAAATGTGGTAAGAATATAACAAAAAATCCACCGAACAATTTGATGGCAAATATTTAAGTGTCTAGCGAGTTTCCTCGTACTCGTTTCAGGATGTTCTTTGACTTCGTGCAGCACTGCTTCCCCAATTTCAGGTGTTCTCACACTTAGAGGTCTACCTTCAGCTCTTCGGACAGAACCAGTTTCAACAAGACGACGATGAATATTAGAAAAGGTTCGACTATCTGGCAAAGCACGATCGGGATATCTCTGGTGATAAATCCGTCTGGCTTGCTCACCATTACCGTCGGCAATGCCATATACGTAATGCATTTCCGCCATTTCTGCATTTGAATAATTCACCATTATTAACAAGATTGTAAAAACTAAATAATGAAAAAGATGTCACAGCGAACAGATTTGAATAACAGAGACTTGTCAGATGTCAAAAGCCAGTGACATATTCCAGAGCAACTAGATATTTATTGCTAAATTGCATTCTTCAATTATTACATTAATTTTCTCGGACAATAGAACGGTTTTAATTTTTTTACTCTTAAATTACGCCTCAGAAGGAAACAATTCAAGAGAGATCATTTATTTTAAATTGAACGGGGAATTAAAAAATAATTTTTATTTGGCAAAAAACTATTGGCGTACCATTTTTTTATTGTCAATACCCGTACGGACGCCACTGTTGAAGCTAAAAATTATTTTTGGATTGAAAAATATGCAACTGTATTAACGTTCACTACGTACTAAATATCAGTGAAATATCTGAAGCGGTTCTGAAAATATTAATTAATTTCCATTTTTTTTTTCTAAAACTTTAACACCCCAAGTTCTTGTAAGGAAACATTTTTGGACCATAGTTTATAAAGTAAGCATTGATTTTGCATGTAGATTCACACCTTTAAATATTCGCATATCATTAAGGAACCCTGTATGACCTGCCACTAGTTATTCAAATCGCGCAAAAAAATAGGGGTGCCTGTATGTTGTAGGATATGTTGAGAAACGGAAGACTCTCCAAAACCCCTACCTGTCAAGTCAAAAGGGGAGAAAGGGGCATAGTCCGAAGGATTGCTACGTTTACAAAAACTTAGAATGCCTAATACGTGACACTGGGGTGTATGATAAGCCTTATGGTTGAGCGGCAACTAATAGTGCACTGAACTCTAACACCAACGACGCAACGGCGTCATCAGTTCATAAAGCATTGTGATCCGAACATGTTAGACCCTCTGAGAAAAAAGCTAGCTTCGCGCAGAGACATTAATCGGATTAAGTTAGTTAAACAGTCCCACCCAATTAGCTCATAGACATTTTTCCCTGCTCTACCAGTATCTCTCTGTCAGTCTACCTGGCAATGAATCCTTTCCCCGATACCTGACGACACAACGCGTCAGAAGCGGCATGCTCGTCGAAAGCATTTTTCTATCAGTCCGTTTTAGAGTCAAATGTACGGGGAAGTCTATGATGTGTGAAATGTTTTTTTTTATATCCTGTATATCGAAGCAGCCGCGCAGACAGAAGCCTAAATGCCGGAGCACCGCGGCTGCGATGATGATCCCAAAGAAATTTTGTTAATACGTTTTTTGAACTGCCTAAGGTTAGTAGAAGAGGGAAAGCTTTCTCTTGTAGATTGTTCCACAATCTCGACATCCTCGGGACAAAGGAGCGGGCGTATCGGCCAGTTCTGGATGTACGAAGTTCGACACGATTACGAAGGGACGCCAAAGTCAGGCGGGTCTGTCTGGCAGGCACATCGCGCGGCGGTATCATGGAAGAGAGCTTGACGAGCAAAGCTCGATGGTGTAGCGGTAGAAAAGAGTTATATCGCCAACGGCCCGCCGATGCGAAAGAGTCCCGAGAATGTCTGTTAGAGAAGAGTCATCGGTCATGCGGAGAAAAGTACTTCTTAGCCCTAAACAAATAGCCTAGCTTTCTCCCAGCAGCTGCAGCTATTGACGAGATGTGGTCGTGCCAGATCAGGTGATCTGGATTCCGACCAGCCGAAATGAATGGCTTTTTGGCAGAACTCGGCCATCCATCAATACCGGCTGAGCGCTAGGACGCTTTTTGTTGGTCAAAGTACAGTACTGTGTTTTGGAAGCATTGAACTGTACAAGATTGTTGCGTCCCCAAGCAGTGATAGCCTCCAGGTCTCTTGTCAGAGAGGAAGTCGTCGCTAGTCTTCTTTTTTCCAGCTCAGCGGCAGAGATCAGCTTGTCACTCTTAATTCCTGCATGTAGAGTGCTGTCATCAGCGAAGCTGTGGATTGGGAGGAAAGGAGGTCGTTGATATGTAAGAGAAACAGTTTCGGAGTCAAGACCGATCCCTAGGGAACACCCGCGTTGACGTGTGGGATGAAAAGGAGAATCTGTCAATTAGTACGGATATCTTGCGGCCAGAGATAAAGTCAGCCAACCATTTGCAAAGCTTTCCTGGGAGGCCATAGAATGGAAGTTTGCTTAACAGGGCAGCGTGCTACAGCTGATCCAACGCTTTCGTGATGTCAAGAGCAACGACATGAGCCTCACCATAAGACTGGATGAGTTTACATCACAATTGCGTGACGTAAGCTAGGAGGTCCCTGTGGATCGTTGGTGCCAGAAACTATATTGCCTGTCGCTAATGAAGCTGTGACGTTCGAGGTAGTATAGAAGCTCGCGATTTATGCACCTCTTCATCACCTTACTTATAAGAGGAAGCAGAGCTATAGGCCTGTAGTTGTAAGGATCGATCTTAGATCCTTTTTTTGGGATGGGTTGGACATGAGCAAATTTCCAGTTTTCTGGGAAGGTGCCGGATTCATAAGATATCTGGAAGAGACGCAAAAGAACTGGAGCAAGCTCCGCTATACACCTCTTCAGTACAATGGCAGAAATCAAGTCCGGACTAGAAGCTTTGTTGATGTCGAGCGACAAGAGCACTCATCTTACGGTCTCATGCCTGAATGTTGCCTCCCGTATAGTGTAGGGAACCCTTCGAATTGACGGCACTTAGGCGTTGGGGGAGACGTCCATGGTGGAGTTGGCAGCAAAGATCTTGGCTAGCACTTAAACTGTGAAAGGCTACCGTGTAAGAAGTTCTTTTCAATCTGCTTGATCAGCGTCCAGAAAGACCAACTGTCACTGCGCTGCGACATTACCCTATGCCTAACTTTTATATCGTTCTGGTTTTTGGCATTGCGAACCGCTTCGTTATATTTGTTTCTGGACTCAACGTCGGCTTGTCTCTTCTCTACAGTGGGGTTTTGTCTAAGAGGTGCGTAGAACTAGCGAGGTTGGGAGCAGGTGAATATACTAAAATCAAAAAATTCAGCTTACCCCTAAAAAAATTTTCAATTCATATTTTTTTTTGTTTTGGTCTTTTTCTTCGCCACCACTGATTTTCAAAAAATACAAAACATTTTTGCCCTTGACGTAATATGTAGTAATCTTGTGTGAAAATGTCTTCAAAATCCGACTGATACTTTCCAAGTTATAGATGGACTAAGGATTAGCGATTGCAATAAATACGAGTACCTCCTTGTCAGATGGCGTGGGAAGTAACAATCACCTGATGGTGTCCCGAACTAATAAAGATATTATCATTATAAACTTCAAAAATAAGATGTGGTATCCTGCATCCCTAAATCCGGCGGCCTGTTGTTAATTTCTAGTGGCGGTAGGAATCAATTGCAGGGTTCTCTCCCTGTC